GCGTTCCAGAGAGGGGACGCTGGGCCTGGGGCGTGAAGGATGACGAGGAGTTGCTAAGGAGCTGCTGAGGCTGGTGCCCCCCACCCCCACCTCCCGGCAACCAGGGAGGGCGGCAGCGAGGGCGGCAAAGGGGCGGGCTCGGGGCTCAGGGCACAGACCGTCGCACTGCTGCAGGATCTCCTCTGCGGTGCTGTCGTAGTGAGCCAGGGGGTTGGCCGCGTTGCGGTACTGGGGGGACAGAGCAAGGGCCACCGGGTCAAGGTCAAAGGCGCTGGCCTGGCCACAGCCGCAGGGCATCCGTGCAGGGGGCTGGTCCCGGCGGCTCAGGGGCCGGGGCCTAGAAGCCTCCGCAGACAGGAAACCTCCAGCCCAGTTCTCCCGGAGACGTGATTTCTAACCCGGAAGCGAAACGAGCGGACGGAGGACCTTCCGGTAAAAAGGCCTTTGTGTGTTTCACGCCTGCGGAGGCTCCGGGGTCCCCGGCCAAGGGCGTCTCCGCTCAGCGTGCCACACTGAGGCCCTGGCAGCCGAGAGCCGGAGGTCACCGACCTGCTGGCTGTGGAGGCCAGGGCCGTGTGCCCGTGCGCAGCATCGGTCACCTGTGCAGCCCCCAGTCCTGCTGCAGGTGTGGCGCCCCCTCCCCCCAGCGCCCACTGCAGCCCATGCTCCGAGCGCGCACTCAACCCCGCCCCACACCTCACCTGGTCTAGGATGTGAGAATTGGGGATCTCGTTCCTCAGCCTCCACGCCACACCCACGTGTGACTCGGGGGAGTCGAACCGGGCGTTGGTGGGGGTCCTCACTATCTCGGCCCCCAGGGCCCGCAGCACGTCCACCTGCCGAGGGACGCCACCGTCACCCTCCGGCCTCCCGCACTGGGCAGTGGTCCCAGGGGACGGCCCCGCCCTCCCGAGCCACCTGCGGGCTCACCTTCTCCGTGCTCATCTTCTCCGGCATCACGATGACACAGCGATAGCCCTTCACGGCGGCGGCCAGGGCCAGCCCGATCCCTGGGGACCGCACACGGTGAGCCCTGCCCCTGCAGCCCCGCGTCGTCCCCTCTGCCCACAGGGCGGCCACTCCCCCCGCGGCCCTAAGGGCACAGGCCTGGGGACAAGGCAGCCTCCTCCTGGGTCCCGAAGGGGTCAGGGCCATCGTCCTGAGGACGGACGCCCCACCACTGAGACCACTTCGAGCCGTAAGATCTTGTGGAATCGCCCGCCGAGGCGTCAGGCTTGCTGGGGACCTGCCACCCCCTCCTTTCCCAACGCTCCCTTGGTGACGCGGGTGTCTGCCCTGTGCCTGTCCCCACACCGCATTTGGGAAACACGTGACTCGTCTGGTGTCACACGTTCCCGGCTGGAGGGGACCTGTCTCTGATGTGGATGACATTTAGAGACCTCGGACTTGGTAGCGTTGGTGCTGGAGGGAGTTAGACCCTGGGGCTGTGGGGAGCGGGGTGAGAATATTCTGCATTTGAGAAAAGGACATGCATTTTGGAGGCCAGATGGCGGTTATGGGCTGAATTGTATCCCCCCAAAATTAACATGTCGAAGTCCTAACCCACATCACCTCAGAATGGGACTGTTGGGAGATGGGGTCTTTGAAGAAGCGAGGTTAATCGAGATCACCAGGGTGGCCCTAATCATCAGTGATCAGGACACAGACACACAGAGGGACGACCGCGTGAGGACACAGGGAGAAGACGGTGTCCACACGTGTGCCAAGGAGACCGCGGGAGGGACGGCCGGGCCCCCAGACCGTGAGAAAATAAATGTACGGAGGTCGCTGCCATCTACAGAGCCAGTGACCGCCCGGCTCTTCAAAGACCCCATCCGGGCCTTTCCTGCCAGGTGTCAGAGCACGCAGGGCGGGGACACAGGGCTGCACGCGTGCCCCGTGCAAAGCAGACTGGGGAGGCGGCCGCCAGCCCCGCCAGCGCGGGCCACGGCCGGGGCAGCCCGCCGTCCCCGCGCGCACCTGTGTTCCCGGACGTGGGCTCGATGATCGTGTCCCCGGGCTGGAGCACCCCGGCCCGCTCGGCCTCCTCCACCATGCGCAGGCTGATGCGGTCCTTGACGCTCCCGCCCGCGTTGAAGAACTCACACTTGGCCACTGGGAGCGAGACGGGTCATGAGAGGAGGGCCCGGGCCCCCCACACCTGCCGACCCCCACTGCCCACTGCCTGCACAGGGACAGGCCTGGTCTCTGTCCACGCCCGCCCCCCACCCGCTGAGGACTGCAAGGCACCTCTGAGGGACTGGGACGGGCACGCCCCAAGGAGCTGCCCACTGGCCACGGGCCAGAACCCCCTGTCGGGCAGCACAGCGACCTGTGGGGCATGCAGCAGGCACCGATCTGCCTCATGCGCCCGTAAGGCCCGGCCGTGCCCTGTGGCCCCAGCCAGGGGACTCGGTGCCCTGAAGCCACAGCCCCGGGTCGCAGCCTCGGACTGGGACCCGCACACCCTCCCGATCTCTTAAAAATATGCAGTGTCTGTCCAGTGGGGGGGTCGAGTGGGGAGGTCATGTGGGGGGTTGCTGCAATGCCGAGGCCCCGGGCCAGCCCGCGACACCCCAAACAGCCTCCAACCGGGTCTGTCTGGATTCCTGAGACCCCACCCCTAGACAGACTCATCCCCTAGAGCCAGGAGAGGCTCCTGCTGTGCGTGTGTGCGCGTGTGCACGCATGTGTGCCTACACGCACGGGACCCCCCGAGGTCTCACTCCGAGTATGAGCAGATGCTCCCACCCGCCCACCGACAGCAGCCCTGAGGCAGGGGCCTGCTGCGTAAGCCATCAGCCTTGGCTGTCCACATGTAAAAGGGACACATGAAAACCCCCCCTGGGGCTACTGTGCCTGCCGGTCCGGGTTAGGGGTCTCTCGCCCCGGGCCCTGGGGTCTCTGGGGCTGCCCGGGACCCCGGCGTGCCCCGCAGTGCCCGGGAGCGTGTGCTGCTCTGTGCCTCCCGAGAGAACCTTTCTCCAGAGGGGAAGAGGAGCGGGGCTCTGAGGGCGACGCCCCCGGGTGAAGCGGCCATCTGGTGCCATGACTCCGTGACCCCTTCGGGCCCCCTCGAGGTCCGCTGATGGATCTGTCCCCTCCAGCTCACGCCGCCCCGGAACCGGGACCCCCTCCAGGGCCGTTGCGGCTGCTGTGTCCTCTGTGACAAAGTGGCAGTCTCCATGGGCTCAGTGCCCGGGAGACAGTGACAATGAAGAAATGCTCCCAGCCTCTTAGTTCCTGGAAACCGCTTCCTGCAGAGCAGCCCCCTCCCCGAATGGCAGAGAAGACCCTCGGATGAGCCCCTCGTTCACCTAGGATGGGGCCAGACACAGCCCCCAGTTCCCGTGTCTCATGAGTAGCAGATGAAGTGTCCGTCCCCACGGAACTGGGCCAACACTGAGATGACCGCTTCCTGCCCAGCGGACGACCGAGGGACCCTCATCACAAAACTGTCCCATCGTCACAGAGAGCCGCCTGCAGGGTGCCCGCTCCTCCCCAGAGGCGTCCAGGACCGTCGGCTGCATCTGCGCCGGGAGCCAGCCTCCTGCTGAGGCCGGGCGAGGCCGCCCTCCCTGGCTGGGGTTCTGCCTCTGACCCCCCGCCGCGCACACACGCTCCCTCCCCCTCCCTCCCCTCAGGCCTCGCCTCACAGGCCACCGTCCCCCGACCCCCGGCTCCAGAGCAGCCCGCTCCGTCACCCTCCAGCACGTGAGCCTGTCGCGTATCCCTTCTGCTCTTATAGGACATGCTCTGGCCATTCGTCACCCCCACGAGGGCTCCGGGGCCCGCCCACCCCACCCTCAGGCCCGCGAGCCCGCGCTGGGCTGAGCACAGGATGGGGACCGGGCACTCACGGAGCTCGCACTTCAGGCCAAAGTGCTTCCCGATCTTGTTGACCCGCACCATGGGGGTGTCCCCGATCTTCATCAGGATATCTGGCAAGATTTTGGGGGGCTTTGCCCTACAACAGAGGAGTTCGCGATTATTCACAAACACAAACCAAAACAGTACCAGCCTTGGCAGTCCAGCACATTCTTTTAAATAAATCAAAAAATAAGTCAAAGAACTAGCTTTAATGAGGGAACTGGGTGATGACCACACAAATCTACACGCAAGAAAAAAGGTGACAGCCACACACACACACACACACATACACACACACACACTCACACGCCTAAAAACCTATGAAATGAATATCTGTAGTTTAGTTAACAGTCAGCTGCACCAAGGTCACTTCCTGGGTTCGAAAAGGCACCGTGATAACACGTCATCCAAGGGCAGCCTTGTGACAGGGACACAGGACCTCTGCGTCGTTTCTGTAACTCCTCGCGAGTGTAAAGTTCTAACTCGAAAGAGTCAAGCAAACACCAGCTTTAAAACGGCACCGGGTCCCGGCTCAGCCTCTGACACCGGGGGCACTGCCTTCTCTCCTCTTTGGTCAAAATACTGGTGCGGACTCCGAGCGCAGACCCCTCAGACTGCCCGGCACCACGCGCAGAGCCGGGCACAGGCGGTGCAAAGCATGGTGATGCTCCAGACGCAGAGGAAAGGCCTGGGGCTGGCCGCTCTGTCCTTGGGCCGGGTCAGGACCGCCCCCCAGAGGACGTCCAGCCCAGAGTGGGCTTTCCCTTCCGCGGGCAGCTGCCTCCCTTCACACTGCAGTGACGGCCCCCCACCCCCCCACGCGGTTCTCCGCCTGACAAGCTGGTGACAGGTGAGCACTCAGGTGTGTGCTGTGACACAGGCATCTCCTGAATGTCCCTGTGGCGCTTCTTCCTCCCCCCAGGGACAGGCCTAGGTGCTGAGGACGTGCTCACCAAATATTCACCCAGGAGGACATACACCTTGCCTGAATTAAGAGACTCAGGAGCTTCCTGCGCCCCCAGAGTTATAACCTACCGCCTGGGATCCTCAGACCTCGGTGAGCCTGTCGCCATCCCAGGGGCCCATTAGATGTCCTCCCCCAGGGGGTCCAGCCCCCCAGGGGCTCTGAGGAGGGCAGG